TTTATTTATTTATTTTTGGTGTGTGTGTGGCCAGCTCAGCCCACCAGGGGGCAGGGCTGGCTGGCATGTGGTGCTGGGGGATTGAACCATGGTCCCTGTGCTTTGCGAAGCTTGTTCTAAGTAGGTGCTTTAGACCACTGAGCCATCTCACCAGCCCAGTCCGGGTTACTTCTTCAGAGGAAAAATGTTGCAGGCAGCTGAGTTAGATTAAAAATATTATAGGCAGTCAGACAGGGCTAGGCCCTCAAGGAGATAAAGTTAAAGACAAGGTGACTTTACAGCTTGAGAGATAGATGCTGCCCACTGTGGGCAGACCTCAAGACAAAATAGAAAACTACCTGGCTGATGTTACAGCTCAAGAGGTGGCACAAAAACCAGGGGGACATGGGAGATATTGCCTGTTCTAGAGTTCTAAAAAAACCCACCTACTCAGACTCTTGTGAACTAACGTTCCTTGCTGTCTGAATAGATTAGCAGTGGTGACTCCATGTCAAAATAATTTGATACAACATCACCACAAAGGGTCATGAGTGCATAAGACTTGAGAGATTTAAACATATGATAATTAGTGTTAAAAACCTCTTCTTCAACGAAATAGCAGAACAACATGTAAAACGACTGGGGTGTAATGTAGCCAAAGGGAAAAAAATGGCTTTAGAGATTTGTCAAAAGAAAAAATTGGAGACTAATCTCGATGCCTCCTTGTACCTGCCTCATTTGGACCTGTTTTCCTGTTTCTCTTGTCTCTATTGGGCCCTGTTTTATAAACTGTTTAAGTATGTTCAAAAAATCCAGACCATCAAGTTAATGGCACTGAGATCTAACTATGAACGCCTCATGCTCTCAGAACAATTATAACAACTTCGGGGTTCTAGCTGAATCAACGATTTGATTCCCAGATAAAAGCAGTAGGGAATGTAATGAGTCAACTCACGTTTTAGATTATAAATGTAAATCTTGTGCTTTCTGTTGTAATTGTATCCTCACCACTGTTCTAAGTTGTTTAGTAACTAGTGGCTGTTTCTTGCTCTTTGCTAAGATAAAATTCCTGTAACCCTCCCCAATTCCTGTTACCAAAGTTAGCTTACAGAGATGGCTTCAAAAGGAAATTAAATAGGCTTTAACTTCTTGTAACCTTGGGCTATGCAAGGCTGCCAGCAGGTACTCAGGTGCAAATTAACCAGGAACTGAAACAAAAGCCCCAGGAAATGTAGTGTGAGTAGTGGTCACAATCATTCTGAATGCATTATTTTGTGTCAGACAATGAATTTGTTTATCAAACTCAATGTGGTTCTAGGTTTTAAAACCCCTCTCTGCTTCCTGGGCTGCCTCTTTTTGGTCGTCTCCTGTGTGAGAGCAAACTGGGGGCCCCTGAGCTCAGTAATAAACGGCTTTCCAAATTCCAATCTGGTTGATCTGGTTCCTATTCTGAGTGACCTATAACAGGCCTGTGCTCGGTCATGAGGAGTTTATTAATTTATTAGTGTGTGCATTGTGTTTGCTACTTCTAAAAAGCCTGTTTTCCCTCCTTTTGTTCTCTCCTCCCTCTCAGGACAAGCTGAGAACAGCAGTCTTTAGAAAAGGGCGCCAAATCTATGGCTCCGCCTCCAGCAGTAGTTTCACTTTTCAATTCTCTAGGCTCCAGGACTTGGCAACTCTAGAAGACTCAGCAGCAGGTAGGGGGTGTCTTCCTGTGGGGCTCAGGGGCTACCCTCAGGGGAAAAGTCAGAGTGGGGGTGGGTGTCTGAGAGCTCAGTGGAGGTACACAGAGTTTTCTGACAGCAGAGGACCCATTGCCCACTCCAGGAATGGTGGGAGAATCTGCTCAGAGGAAAATTCACCAGCTGAGCCCCCTGCTTTCTGCGCTCCTCCCAATCTCCCCAGGGAGAGGTGGGGTTTAAGGGTGGACCATATGGGCTCACAGAAACAGCTACTGCAAGAGACACTAGGACAGCTGTGGCTCCTGGTGCTACCTCCGCTGTGCCTTGTTGTCAGGTTCTCATTGGTGGCCACAGAGCCTCCAGCACATGTACCACAGAGGTCCGATACGCGTTCTCTTTCCCACTCCCAGGGCCCAGAGCTCTGCCCCCGACCTCCTGCACTGCCACAATCTGCAATTTTCCTGGAGGAA